CAGCTGCCGACCCGCCGCCTTTCTCGGGCCCGGCGACGCCCTCGGCCAGCAACATGTTGTCCAGGCGCATCAGCTGAGGATCGGGAGGTTCCTCCTCCTGGGCGCCGCGAATACTGAGCACTGGGGAGAACACAGCAAGACACCGTAGCATCAAAACAGTGACATCAACCTGACAAATTGTCACTCCAGAAAAAAAAAAAGAGCGTTTTACAACGACTTGGGGAGCGTCTTAACCATCTTCCGTGTCAGTCTAGCAAACGATCCTCCTTAAAATATGGCCGTCATTTTAATGGATCAAGTCTGAGACATAAAACGCTGCCGCTTCAGACAGGCCGGCAGCTCGGTGAGATCATAAAACCATAATTTCATCGATTCCGACGATCATTTCATGCATAAAAAAAAAAGAAAAAAAAAAAGAACAAAGCCTTGCACCAGAGTTCATCTTTCATTGCGTTCCTTATGCTCAGACTACGGTTAGTTTCTGCCTGATAGCTTTATTGGCTTGTCAGGGGGTATTTAAAAGGCACAACACCAATTAAACATATTCATGTTTTTATTCATGTGATATTAATGCAAAGACACGTTGCTCAATTTCAGTATACATATTTTAAAGACAGCAGAGCTAAAGTTCGAAAGTCAAAAATCTTGATGCCCGAATCATAAAAACAACAAACAATCTAAAATGATGATCTTAATAAAGGCTAACGGGCTCCGAAAGACTTTTTGAGTGCATTTGAAAGGCGGCAGGCGGTCCGACATGCAGCATGTTGTCAGGCGAACGCGGCCCTCGGTCTGACGTCTGCTCACACTCGCGCCGAGGTGAGAGCGCATTTGAACCTGTCGTCACATGCCCGCGGCCCTCGACGAACACTTGGCTGGCGTGATGAGGAGGGCCAAGTAAAATCACGACAAAGAAAGAGACCGCCGAGATGGACGCGCGCGCTTGTGTGCCCAACAATGCACAAACTCAAGCGGCCGCTCTGCCCATTTTTGACGATTTCAAAAGAGCTCATATCGGCTGATTAAACCGGACGCCGGCCCATTAATCGGTCAGGCCCTTGCCGTGACCCTAACGAGGACGATGTTAAAATAATGAGGAAATACCGAATATTACAAACTGCTTACAGGATAACACGATCACAACAATAAACCTATCTTTAAACAAGTACCGTATTGGCCCGAATATAAGACGGCCCTGATTATAAGACGACCTCCTCTTTTTCAAGACTCAAGTTTGAAAAAAGACTTTTTGAACACCAAATTAATTTTTGTACAGAAAATAATTACAGTACATCTGAAACAAATGATACTAACAATATGTTTGAGAGAAAAAGCATGCTATTTTGCCTCATTCAAATATTAATATCTGAACATTTAAATATGTAAAGTAAAGTGCAATCACATTCGTTAATGAATGGCTTCTGGTGTTTGAAATGTAAATTACATCATAATTTCTCCTCAGCTGCCGGTTAACCTGGCCGATCTTCGACCCACTTTTCTCCAGATTGTTGCTACGTTTCTCCATTTTCTGTTATCTCTTCCATTATTTTCTTCTCTTTTCTTTCTTACCGCTATTTTTTATTTTTCTTCTTCGTGCTACCGCTATTTTTATTTTTATTCTTCGTGGCAGGGGTTCACTTTGGCCTGGGGAGTCAAGTTCAGCATTCGCTTCAATGATATCTGGCGCCATCGAGCGTCGTGAATGGGTAGAATGTCTAGACCCCGAATATAAGACGACCCCCACTTTTTCAGTCTTATTTCAATGCAAAAAAACACCGTCTTATATTCGGGCCAATACGGTAGTCCTCGGATGTTGTCAGTGAAATGTTACAAAGGCAGCTTGTTTGCGTTGGCTGTCAAGTGACAAAGTGGCGAGAGCCATTTATTGTCCTGCCTCTTGCCGCCACCAGAAGGCTCCCTCAGTAAAGGAGCCGCTCAGGCTGTCTTCCTGCCAAGGTGCCGAAAAGGGAAAAGGCGACCAGGTGCAACCCTCCATTATATCCGCTCGTCTTCAAGGACAAAGACAAAGCTGGCGCCGCTTGTCCGCTTTCATGCCGTCGTGTTTTGCGCGGGACACTGCGATATAATAAGCAGCACATCCTGAATAAGAACGACGAGGGTAAATTGTATTGTTCTCCCGCCGTGGCCACTCACAGCGGCGGCTCTTTTGTAATGACCATGTAAGCCGGAGCCGCCCTGTGACCTTTGTGGCCAGAGGGGGGTCCAGATGGAGAGCTCGTCTGCCCTCTTTTCTTCTTCTCCCCAGATTTTTTTTTTCCTCTCCGCCTTCCTTCTCTTTTTCTCCTCAAGCAATATCATCATCCATTCGCATCAGCTCCAACACGTGAGCAAGCTCGACTCGAGAGGCAAATGTCAATGGCCATCAGACGGCTGGAAAAGGTCAGGAGTTCACACGGGGGGAGGCGCAGACACGCAAGCGCGCGCGCGCGTGTGTGTGTGTGTGCGTGCGTGCGCTGGCAGACATTTTTCCATGTGAATCACACCAGCGGCAGGAAACGCTCGCCAATTGGATGCTGACAAAATAGCGGCACATCCCGACCAGAGGGGGGGGAAATCTAATGAGCCCGAGAGTGATTTATTAATTCCCTGCCTTCCGACTCCCAGAGTGCACGGCTAAAAGCATGAAATGGATTAAATAAATACAATTAATAAGGGGGGATCAAACAATCCGCTGCGCTGCGTATAATTACCCCGGCCACGGCCATCAGCTTTATTTATTTCCGTTGGCTAATAGCGAAGGAATCGATAAGGCCTTAATGCCAGTCAGAGTGCGCTTTGTGAACTCTGCAAGCGCCGAGCGTACATTAACATAATCACCTGACACAAGCACAAGTGGCCCAGTCCAATACATCACATGCGGGCGCTTGCATAATAGCGCGGAGAGCCTTTTATTGTGCCGCTCCAAACTGCCTTTATTTCATAGGCCGTCGCAGATTAGTATCTATAAAGGGAAGATGGCCATCATCTCATCTTGATCATTACCGACAGACTTAATTGAACAATGAGAGGACACGTTCCTCTCTTTCTCCCACCCTCCTCCTCTTCCTCCTCCTTCTTGTCTCCTCTTT